TTACGCATCTCCAAAGCACCTAACAAATTCGATAAAATTGTCTATGCAAAACGAAGTCAAATAAGTCGAAATGTCATCGTTAGTGTCTTCATCAATATTCCTCGAGCCCGTAAAGGCGAACCAGAGCTAGAGACGTCGATTTTCGAAATTAAACGAATAAACTAAACGCCTTTGCTAAAACAGACTTTGAGTTTGTTTAACGAAGGCAACGTATTTATTTTAAGGGGAGGCGGGACCGCTCGATCCGCCGAACAAAGCTCTTTTAACGGGTATATCCTCATCCTCTACCGCGGCCATACATAGGTTAAACCTAATCACCAGGGCCGGCCTAGCTATCACATACGCGAAAATAATTCAACGCTCAATCATTCAATCTAAATCTCCTACATTCGTCATCATTGATTCCTGAGCTCATCAATTATTTCTCCTTAAGTGAATTTTCTTCTTTAGCTTGTCCTCTGATTATGTTATCAATAATTACTATAACCTATAGGCTTAAATCATTGAAGTCCTGATCTGTTGTAGCTCGGCAAGACATTTTCGCGTTTTCCTTACCGAATTAATTCATTTGAATGTTCAAAGCGTATAAAATGGAAAATTTATTTGAGAAGGAGTAGGTTGTCTCTTATTTGGATTAGAGCAACACATTTCTTCGGTATTGCGCACTGTTGTTGCTTGACAACATTTCCAAGAATGTTGGCATGAATAAGCAAATAAATTAGATGAAATAAAGATTTGATATTTAGGTTGATTACTACAATTTCTTCAGAAAACAATTATTTATTTTTCACAATTGAATACATATTTTAAATGTATAAAGAATACCTACAGTGCATTCTACTGATTTATTAATGCAATTGAATTCCAAAATAATATAGAGGATTTGTTTCAGTCCACTTGGCCTTTGCAGAAATTAACAACATGGAAACATCCACTGTGGTTTATACCATACAGTACATCAACGAATATTTTAATGCAATTATTAATTAATTAATAAACAACACATAATCCATTTTGCATGTATATTTTGCACTAATGCACTATTTCGATAGTAAACCTTTCAACTGGCGCTTTGTTTTTCAATATCGAGTAGTAACTAAATTTGATTAAAATCAACGTACAACTAGTGTGCGCAGTATAATGAAAGTAATCAATAAAAAAAATAGTGAAAACACTAACAGAACATTATTAAAGAGTTTTGTTGAAAACCAAACAAACACCTAGGGATTTGCCTTGAATAATTGGATTCACTATTATAAAATGTTCACTTATAAATATCGTAGTTTCGCATTCTAAAGACAACATCTCTAAAAATGGTGTATCTATTAAGTTTTTGGCTATCTTACAGCTAAAACAGAAGTGAAGCATACATAACTCCAGGAAAAACTCATAAGTATGCCAATTATTTTGCGGCGATTTTATTTTCGCCGGATTCAATTTAAACAACTGCATTAACTATCTGAGACAAAAAGTCCGAATCCCATGCCAAGTTCGCTAAGTTAACAGAACCAAAAAGTCGTTTTTTGGAAGCACAAAGAAAGGAAGTGTACTACATAAATAATTGGAGTAAACCCAACTTTCTCATATTTAAGGGCTTCGCCGCGATTTCCATCCAACAACGGATCTGTAACGCGGAAGAAACTTGCTAAATTTAAATTTTAGATTGTTTAAGTACACATTCATTTGATACTACTGCTTTCTTTAAGGGTGTATGATAAATCTTGTAACTTACAAATTTATGCAACATCAAAATGCGTCAAAAAATATAACGATCCTACGTAATTAATAATTATAATACACAAAAATAAACATTTATAGAATCTACATTTGGTCTAATAAATTATTTCCTAATAATTTATATCAACTAACACTTCCATTGGTCCTTAAACTTAAACTTAAACCTATCCACGACTTGGATCATTAAATTCTTCGTTAGTCTTGTTTACAGCATCGTGGAAAACGACAAGGAGCTGTCGGTTTCGACGACGTCGTAGGATTTTCACATGCGGAATTGCAGTTTTCATTGAGTTTGAAGTTGTCCAGTCGCAAGCTGACGCCCGGCCACTTTATTTGCAACTTTGTTCGACGCAAATTCCGAAACTTCAAACTGGACGATACGGGTTCAAACATTAGCGCAATATTAGACGCCTGGGGAAGTTTTATTAAAAAAGAGGTTACACGTTTATAAGATATTTCTCGGATAATTACGTTTTATACGAGCTTAAACAATATGTTTTTAGTTATAATAAAATCTTGTACCCGGATTTTTAAATATATTGAGATGTGCTTGAGACTTGCTTATACGTTTTGCTACAACTATTATTAATCAAACAGTGTTGAACATTATAAAAATTTTACATTAAGAAAATAAGCTTGTGCTAATAGGTTTTAAGTATGTTTTTACTTTGGCAAAACGTTAACCAAGTTGAAAGTTTAAATTTCTTCTAACCGCGTTTTCCGTTACCCCATCAATTCGAAGTACTTAGAAAACACCTTTTTGATCGGCGGATAAAGGATGCAAACAAACTAAGCCACCGAGATTGTAATTTGAATAACAGGAAAGTTTTTCGAAAGAAAAAAAAAATCTTTCGAGAAAAAAGCAATTAAACTTAAAAGCTAGATTATTCCAATGGCGTAGGTACATATCCTGTAAATTAAACCAATTTTACAAGCGTTAATTGCGTATTATATTTGTCCTGAATTCATTGATATCAATCCATTAAATTTTTCCAGAGAGTGGACTGATTTAAATCAACCGAACAATGCATGAAATACTCTTCCTTTACTCCCCGATTTAAGCCCCTGACTTTTTCAACATAAAGTAGATCGCAGTAAGCACTTCATCTATATGTCAAGTATTTTTCACTAGGGCTTTTTGAAAGCTCTTCGCTCGACTTCGATTCGTTTCTTGTTAGTGCTCTTCTACCTCTTGATAATTTTTCTTGCTCCCGGATGTAAATTCCGGACCATCAATATTCAGTCAAACTGGAGACTCTTTTATAGACTCAATTATTTTCGAGATAATCCACATGGACAAGCGGTGGAAATTGAAAAGTATGGATGTCTGAAACGAACTTGTATGCATTTCGTTTTGGGTTTGTTTGAAGTTGGAAATGTATTCAAATTAAATAATTCATAAAAGAGAAAATAGGTACGAAGAGACATGGTATTAATAAAACATAATTGGCTTTTTATACAGCTTCACTCATTTGAGTTTCCTGTTAACTGTCTGTTACATCATTTAATTAGTAAAGGGCTGTGCTCATAATGCATTTTGAAGAGAGTTTATTTAGTTAAATGAAGTTTAAAACGTGAATTTCCGTATAAATTAAGAATGTAAAATTTGCAGAGTTAGGTAAAGTTACTTTTAAATTTGATCAATAAATCAAACCTAACCCAATTAAGTTATTAAAGTTTTAAAACCTATTTTTATCACCTATATTATTTAAAATAAAAAAACTTCCCTATTTTCTTAAATTTTTTATCAGGAGTTTACCACACATGGAAGTAAAGACTGTCGCATGAATAAAAAATCTCCGTAAAATGAAAAAAACTTGTACCTAAGAACCGACCGGCGTCGGTCTAACAAAGCCCGAACGAATTTCCCCGTGAAATTTCACGAATTTCCCGGTCGCTCGGCGACGTCGCCCGCCGTTAAAAGGGGAAGGAAAATTCGAGAATTCAAGAAGTTTCCAATCTTCGGCTCGAGATCAACACTAAAACTTTCATTCCGTATAAATTCGAGCAAACATTTGACCAAAGTCGAAGGGAAAGCTTTTACAAGGAAAAATACTTTGTGTCATAAAATAAGCCGGGAAAATGACAAAGAGTAAATATTGAGAGCGGCTGGAATCGATACTTTATGCTCTAAAAAAATTTCCAATGATCGGAAGAGATAAAAATGAGAATCATTTATCTTCGAGGGTTTCTTTCACATGCGGCCTAATAGAAGAGGTTGTGTATTAGTAATTCCGATTTTTTTATTACAAGAAGCCAAGTATATCAGTATAACGTTTTATTACTCTCATATTTCGCCCGGAAAACATAATACGCATTAACTAAGGATACCTAAGCCATCAAAACTCTCCGAGAAATAGGCAGCAAAGCGCTCTCCGGAGTATTAATGCCCACTAGACCTGGAACACGGTGCGTTGTTAAACTTTCGCCAGTCATCAACTCGGAGCAGGGAAAGAGGGCGAGATCGCATCAGCCGCTGGTCGCGACCGGTGGCCCGAGCTACCTCAGCAAAACAAGGCGTCCTTTCAATAAAGCCTGTTGGGATTTACTGGACGAAGCGGCAACTGCGCGAATTTATCCCAGCGCCACCCCGCGAAGTACTAATCGAGACAGACTTGATCGAGAAAAATCTCGAGATCGACACGCCGAGCGAATTGACCGGCATGGTTTTCATTTGTTAATTGTTTTGTTGTATTCGAATTTATATTATAAATAAATGTGTTCAAAAAAGGTGGTCACAATAGTTGTCTAATATTGTGAATTATTCATTGTGGTCCTTCGAGAGTCGGATGATATTTGGATCATCGTAGCAACAGGAAAATTCGACGGCATCGACGCCATTTTTGCCAAGCCAAGTTGAGGAGTTTCGTACTTTCGGACTGGAAAATTGGATTCGACGGTTCTACACGGCGATTGTAAGTCCTTTTCCAGTATTACCTTTCCTTATACTTGCATATTTAGCTTTGATTTGCGCGATTGGCTTATAGAACTGGTAATTTCATAGTTTAATTAGAATTCGTTTACGGGTACCGGTTGGCGATTCGTGTTTTGACTTGTTTCATAGACTTCGCTTTTCATATTTCACAGTTTAGATTGTAAAAATGTCCGAGGAAGACAAACAAATGTTCGATAAATTGAAGCGGAAACGGGCCGCTAATAAGTCAAAGTTAACTATTTTTGCAAAGTTTATTGAAAACTTAGATAAAGCCTACCCCAATAAGATAATCGGAGATTCTGCCATATATTATGAACTAGAGCAGAGAATGGAGAGATTTGCCCAGGTACTCGACGATTTCAACGGACTTCAGGCCGAAATCGATGAATTAGAGTTTGTCGATATCGATGCAGAAGCGGCCGGTCGGGAGTTGTTCGAGAGGGAGTTCTTTGCATTGCTAGGAAAAGGCAAGCAGTTCCTTTCGGAGACGGAAGAGAGCGCTTCGACACGTAGCGGCAGCGGTTCGGGGTCGGTGAAAAGCGGTGGGAGTACTCGGCCGGTGGTTAGATTGGGAGCGACGGCGACGTTGCCGGACGCTTCCCAAATTCCTAGAGTTAGCGAAACGTTACCAAATCGGGTTTTTAGCGAAGTAAAGTTACCAGAAATGAACTTAAACGTATTCGACGGCGATCTGGAGACTTGGCCTGAGTTTCGCGACACTTTTGAGGCGCTAATAAACAATCGCGCGTCGTTGAGCGATATCGAAAAGTTTCATTATCTTAGGTCGTACATCGCACGAAGCGTGTACGAAACCATCGGTAGCCTAGATTATACGAGCGAGAATTACAGGTTCGCGTGGGAGGCTATTTGCAAGCGGTACAACAATGCGACAGATCTCACACAGCATCATTTGGAAAAATTATTCGCGATGGAAAAATTGGAGTCTGCTACCGCGGTGGGTATTCGGCGTATTTTAGACAGCGTAACGAATAGATTAAAGGCGTTGAAAACGATAGGGGAACCCACAGAGCATTGGGATACGTTTGTCGTATTTTTAATGCTTTCGAAGCTGGACGATGAAACATGCGTCAGGTGGCAGGAGGTAAAATTAAGGTATACTCGACCAACACTCGCCGAATTTTCGGAATTTTTGGATCGGCGATCAAAGTTGTTGGTATCAATAGAACGAAATAGAACCGCGAGCGCTGCGGTAAATTTAAAACCAAATTCGAAAAACTCGGAGTCGCGCAACAAACACGAAAACACAAATAAAGTTAGATCGCTCTTTGCTACGGGCGGTGATTCGGGCGCGACGTGTGCTTATTGCAAAAATTCGCACAGCATAAACGATTGTTCGGAATTCTTGAGGTTGAGCATTAGGGAACGACTAGCGCAAGTAAAGCAAAGGGGGCTGTGCATAAATTGTTTGAAAACTGGACATCTTATGCGACAGTGTAGGTCTAGGTCATGTAGAACTTGTGGGTCGCGTCATCACACATTGTTACATATTGAAAAAACTCAAGCTGCCGAAAATGCAGCGGTCGGAATGACTGCAGGAAACGTCGAAACTGTTACTACTCTTTCGTCTGGTTCGTCGAAATTCGGTCATGCGCTTCTTTCGACCGTTTCGGTAAGAGTGTGCGATAAAAATGGTAGAAATCGCAACGCGCGAGCTTTGCTGGATACGGGTTCGCAGAGTAGCTTCATCACGTCGGAATTATGCGAACTTTTAGAATTAGAAACGGTTGGGATCAACATAACGGTGAGCGGTATAAGTCAGGTGCGTTCTCAGATTACGCGTCGCGCGAGCTTGACCGTTCAATCTCGTTTGAGCGGATTTTCATTGAACACGGATTGTTTAGTGATTCCCAAAATTACTGGGGATTTGCCTAGCGTTCAATTAGATACTGCGACCTTTAACATTCCGGAAAATATTAGACTGGCGGATCCTGATTTCGGCGTTCCTGGAAAAATTGATGTGTTGATCGGGGCCGACTATTTTTGGCAAATTACCTGCGTCGGGCAGATTCGGATCGGACCCAGCGGACCGATTCTTCAGAAAACAAGATTTGGGTGGATAGTCGCTGGCCACTTCCCATCTTTGGGTACTGACCGGGAGTTTTATTGTCACTTGTCGAGACACGGCGATTTGGACAGACAGTTGGAGCGGTTTTGGACCATAGAGGAGGTTCCCAGCGCGACGAAGTCTTTCTCGCGGGAGGAAGAATTGGCGGAATCACATTTCATTAATACTACTAGGCGCGATGCGGACGGAAGGTTCGTTGTCACGATTCCTTTGAGAGACAGCGTCCAATTGTTGGGGGATTCGCGCGAAATAGCTTTAAAACGATTTTTAAATCTGGAAAGGAAGCTGTCAAAAAATCCAACATTGAGCGAGAGTTATCACAAATTTATTCGGGAGTATCGCGAGATGGGACACATGGTTAAGGTTACTCGTCCCGAGATTGCGGAACATGCGTATTGCATGCCTCATCACGGCGTTATTCGTGAATCGAGCACGTCAACAAAATTACGAGTGGTGTTCGATGCTTCGTGCTCGACTACGAGCGGCTACTCTTTTAACGATATTCAATTAGTCGGGCCAGCGATTCAAAACGACCTCTTTTCGATTTTGCTGCTGTTTCGGAAGCATGCCTATGTGGTTGCGGGAGATGTCGAAAAAATGTACAGAATGTGCAAAGTGGACCCATCGCAGTGGCCTTTGCAGAGAATTTTGTGGAGAGATAATTCAAACAGCCCGATTGATACGTACGAGTTAACTACGGTTACGTATGGGACGTCGTCGGCTCCCTTCTTAGCAATTCGGTGTCTATACGAGCTGGGACTTAAGAGCGAAAACGAAGCGGTATCGGAAGTGATTAAAAATCATTTTTATGTAGATGATATGCTCACCGGCGGCGCGACGGTAGAGGAAACAGTCGAACTCATAGATGAAGTGGTGGCGACTCTCGAGTCGAGCGGTTTTTATTTAAGAAAATTCGTGTCTAATAGTACCGAAATATTGCAGCGGATCAAGTCCACCGATGGGAATCGTGTCGTGAATCTGGGCGCGAATGAAAACGCGAAAACACTTGGAGTTATCTGGAATGCTGCGGCTGACCAGTTTTCTTACAAAATTTGTATCGGAGAAGCAACTAGGGTTACGAAGCGATCCATTTTGTCGGAAACATCACAAATATTTGACCCTTTGGGATTTCTGTGTCCGACGATAATTGTAGCAAAAATACTTATGCGTAACATTTGGCTTGAAAAAATAGGATGGGACGAATCACTGCCGACAGACTTGCACACCCAATGGTTGAAGTTTCGGAGCGGGCTGAGACACTTGAATGAGGTGGTCGTACCTCGCAGGTTTATTTGTTCGGGTTGGGTGGCGTTGGAGATCCACGGGTTTTCGGACGCTTCAATGTCGGCATACGGGGCGTGTATATATTTGGTTTCGCGAGATTCGAGCGGCGAGACATTTTCTTCTTTGATATGCGCCAAGTCCAGAGTGTCGCCGGTAAAGGTACAGACCATTCCTCGGTTGGAATTACTCGCGGCGGCCCTGATGTGCAAACTAATGGGTCGAGTAAGGGCGATATTGAATCTTGATATAGTCGGCGTTTTCTGTTGGACCGATTCAACCATAGTACTGGGTTGGTTGAAGGCGCCGATTAACATTTTGCAGACCTTCGTGGCAAACCGCGTGTCGGCCATTTTGGAGATTTCGAGCGTCGAGGAGTGGCGACATGTACCGTCCGGTGATAACCCAGCTGACTGCGTCTCGCGCGGAGTTTCACCCGAGATGTTGAAAGATCACGAACTATATTGGAACGGACCTCGTTGGTTGCGTTCGTCGAAGTCTTGTTGGCCGGAGGGTCCGGGTATCGTAGCGTCGCTGCCTGAGATCAGGCGAACTATTGTAGCCTGCGCATGCGCGGAAGAAATCGATGTTTTGAGCGAGATTTTCAAAAAATATTCAGATTTGTCCAAAATTAGGAGAATCGTCGCGTATTGTATTCGTTTCAAAACAAATAGTCTTCGCATCAGAGCGGAACGTAATTTAGGGCCTTTGTTAGCTAGCGAGTTAGCAGAGGCAAACTTGGGGTTAGTAAGATTTAGTCAGGCTTTGCACTTTCCTAAAGAGATATCGTTGCTCACTAGTGGGAGGCCGCTGGAGAAAAATAGCAAATTGTTAAAACTTAACCCTCACGTTGACCAAAACGGTATATTAAGAGTCGGGGGTAGATTGGTGCATTCCGATTTATCCAACGCGCGAAAGCACCCCATGGTCTTGGACTGTAAAGATAAATTCACCAAGCTATTGTTTTTGTTCGAACATGAAAGATTATTGCACGCGGGACCGCAGCTCCTGCTGTCACACATTCGTTTAGAGTACTGGCCTGTGAACGGACGAAACTTGGCCAGAAAGGTTGCCCGGGAATGCGTCGCGTGTTTCAGGGCGAAACCGTCCAATTTGGTTCCCATGATGGGAAATCTTCCTAGTACGCGAGTAACACCCGCTCCGCCATTTTTTGTCTCCGGCGTCGACTACGCCGGACCGTTTCGCATTAAAGATAGACAGGGTCGTGGATGTAAGGTTTCCAAGGCGTACGTTAGCGTTTTTGTTTGCTTTACCACGCACGCCGTTCATTTCGAACTGGTACCGAGTTTGTCCACCGAATCTTTCATAGCGGCTTTTAGACGATTTATCGCAGGGCGAGGAAAACCTTCTCGAGTGTACTCCGACAACGGAACGAATTTTGTCGGGGCATATAACGAATTAAGAGATTTGGGCATATTTCTCCAGTCTAGCGAAAATACATTTGTCGAAACGTTCGAGAATGAGGGAATCTCTTGGTCTTTCATTCCGGCAGGAGCGCCACATTTCGGTGGCCTATGGGAGGCTGGAGTCAAGTCCATGAAGCATCATTTGACTCGAGTCGCAGGGAATGCTTTGCTAACTTTCGAACAGTTCTATACGCTGATTGTGCAGGTCGAGGCAATCCTCAACTCTCGCCCTATGTATCCTCTCTCTTCGGATCCCTCCGATTTGCTCCCCATCACACCTTCCCATTTTATAATCGGCCGTCCTCTGACGTCAATAGCAGATCCTAATTTGTTGAACATACCGGAAAACCGTCTAAACCATTACGAGCGAATCCAGCAACTCAAACAACACATTTGGAATCGATGGTCGCTCGAATATCTATCGACGCTCCAAGAGCGATCCAAGTGGCGTAGCAATGGCCACACACTCAACGTCGGCGATCTGATAGTCGTCAAGGAAGAAAATCTTCCCCCATTACGTTGGCTCATGGGCCGAGTGATATCACTTCACCCGGGAAGAGACGGAGTAACACGAGTCGCGACTGTCCGCACGAGAAACGGGGTCTTGCGGAGACCTTTGACTAAGCTGTGCCTTCTTCCGAAGGGCGACTTAGAGGAATGTTGAAGATGTCCTTCAACGGCCGGGAGAATGTTGGGATTTACTGGACGAAGCGGCAACTGCGCGAATTTATCCCAGCGCCACCCCGCGAAGTACTAATCGAGACAGACTTGATCGAGAAAAATCTCGAGATCGACACGCCGAGCGAATTGACCGGCATGGTTTTCATTTGTTAATTGTTTTGTTGTATTCGAATTTATATTATAAATAAATGTGTTCAAAAAAGGTGATCACAATAGTTGTCTAATATTGTGAATTATTCAAAGCCGATTATGAAACATTTACACATGATAAGCCAAACATTTACCCCGAATCCGCTTCAATCTCAAGGGCACGTCGAAAGTCGAATGGGCCATAAAATATTCATGGAGGAGCAAAAAGGGGACGATAGAGTGATGCTCCGAATTTGTTATTTACCTAACATTTTGTCACTACTTTAGTAATTTGCTCCGTCGAATTCTTGAAGGATATTTCCAGAAGATACTTACTTTTATAAGAATGAAAATCAATTCTACAATTAATCATTTTATTACACAAAAAATTACCTATTTTATGAAAATATTTTAAACTATAATTTAGAAGCTAATGTCATAAATATTTTAGTTTTGGTTTCTTGAAACTGCGTGTTTACATGGTAAAAGAGCATTTATAAAGAAATAACGGTCCCCTCTGTGTCGAAGCGTATTCCTTGGCTAAAAGGATTTTCTCATCAAGCGTCCAGGACGTTGAAAGAGCGACATGTTTTTAATTTTCTCGTGTTGTCTGAACATGACTCAATTAGGTGTGTAGCCGAGGGAAGGATTTAAATTAATATATTTTTTAATTAATGTATGGCGCTGCCTTAATATAATGGGCGTCGGGTACGCTATAAATTCTTAATGCGGGGTGATTTTGTTATATTGTTTCTTATTAAAGGGTACGAAAGGGTTGGAATATAAATAGGGGTAATTTACTGGTAATACTGGGCGGGAATTTATTAAAAATTTTAATTTACTCACATAATTGCGGATGGAATTGATAATGAATGTTCGTTGTATGAAGGTGTACCGTGAAATACAAAAATTTCGATCTCTACATGAATAAAGATAATCTACGATAGAAATTTTAACGCCTGGTAAATTCTCATCCAAAAACCTATAATCAATTTAATGTACTAAATATCTAACAAAACAACAAATATGAGGGTGTTCTTTATCCAATCCAATTACAGAACAAAAACACGAATTTATACGCCAATCTGAAAAATAATGAGTTTTATTTAAAATTTTCTCTCAGATAAGTACGTACTTCAATATTCCAATGACGAAATGTTTTGTAACGTTATGTTCTCCTTCTTTAATACCTTAATTGGACTTATCTTATCTAAATCACTCTAAGTGAGTCTATTGAATTTTAAAATTTCCGCTCATTTATTATGCCATTTTCTTCTTCAGTGATTATCATAAGATACGCGAACCCCGTGTTATTTTTCCGAAGGAAAATGCTAAAAAGAACTCTCCCTTCGAGCGACGAACGCTAAATTCAGGTATGTGTTTTGGGGCAATGAAATCCAATTATCGAGATTCGCGAAAAGGAACCGAATGACATTATCTGCGTAGTTACGTATACTACATAAAAATGATACACAAGTAAAATGAACTTTTCATTCGCCTATTATGATAAGGTGAGTTTCCTTTTGGTAATCTCCACAAACCAGCTTAAAATAAATTACACATCCAGTTCTGTAACTTAATAATTTGTGCATATCAAAATCGCAATGTTGATTCGAATAGCACAAAATCTAGTCTAACTTTCGGTAACATCAACAAACTCGGCGCCCGTGTAAAGCTTAATGCATTCCGTATCATAAAGCAATAACCATTATAAACATGAAACAAATCCCCGTTTCGAGGTGAAGAAATGCACAACTAATCAAAAGCTGACTAATAATGTTTGCGAAGTCACTCGATGGAAATTTTAGCGTGTTATTATCTGGCAAAGAAACTATAAATGTAGTGTAAACTTTAGTAATGGGAAGATGTGGTAGCGAAGTACCTACGTGAATATTTGTGTAAATGTAAATTCAACTTACTTTAATGTAAGTACATAAATAATTGATAATTTTGATTTTGGTTGGATATTTCGTAAGTATTGTTAATAAATTTTAGCTGAAATAGCCTAAGTTATAAGTTAGACTTTATCATAGAAATCCCAACAAGATGTCTGCGCATTAGGTAGATGCGGCCATTTGATACACAAAAAGGAGAAGCAGATTTGCTTTCTCCAACCTTCCATAAATCATTTATGATGGGTAACAGAAGGCACATTGCGGTAAAAGAGAATAGGTAAATAGACGTACATTGTCTAGGAGGCTTTTAGTATATTGAATAAACACAGACTGCATGTTAACTATTTAGAATCATATTCTACGGACTACGGATTCAGGATTTCTCGGCTTGAAATTCAGTCTCAGTTTCCTATTTTCGTTTCGCGTCTTTCACTTTGATGTGTTTTTCTTTGATTACCATTTCAGTGTTTTCTATTTAAAGAGCATTTTGTTTCCTTTTACTCGTTTCGCATTAATTAGAATAATAATTATATTAGAATAATCAACGTTACTCCTTAATTATTCAAATTCATATCTTCGACAAAACTAGGTAAAGAATTAGCTATTTGAAACGGAATAATAAACCCTATTTATTCACCTGCCTACACTGCTCGTTCCGTAACGGAACCCTTTATCAAATCGTCGTTTATAGTCCCTGCGGAACCACAAGCCGACCAAAACGTCGGTTTCGAACATCAATTATGCATCAACGACTCCCAGTGCGCTCCACTATGCCGCCGCTCACACGCGAAAAGCCAACACTTCCTAGTGTCTCCAATCTTCTAGCAAAATTCACCCTGACCTAAGAGAGTCGTACGAAAGAACGAAGATAACTCCGCGTCCAATGAGTTGCAAATGTACATACATATAGTCTCCAAGTTGATGAAGCCAATAGTTATTATGTTTTAGAAGTATACTCAACTTTCATATAATTTTACTATAGATACATAGGTAAGATTCTCGAGGTTGTATGTAGGTAACCATTTAATAAAATATTACAAGTGGTCCAGTGTTTTTTATGCCGATGTTCTGTCGGTAAGTTTGTTGGTCCACTGAGCAAGCGAAGGAATAGACGTCGTCGTCGTCCAATAATTCAAAGATTCCATTTGAAACACCTGGAACGGGTCCTGCGGGAGCCTCCTTAACACAAACCACTATTTTACCAGCAAATAAGCATCAATTCCTGGGTTAGGCGTATTTTATCGGCGTCGAGGGCGAGCGACTCTGCGCTGCCTTGACTGACGACACATCCAAGACATTTCGATGATTTTAAATCAAGGAATATATAGCATCCTATTCTACTATAGTTATTTACTATCGTGTATAGGTGAATAAAAAACTTTAATTCGTTAAAATACTATTCGCAAATTAGTAAGTCACGTAGCGAACGTTTTATATTTCCAGTCTCAAATGTGGCGAGCAATAATTTCAGTTTCGAGAAAGTTTACGCCTAAGCTCTAGTCGTGAGTTAGCGACCATTCATTTTATATTCGCGAAATAGAGTTTTTAATTTGTTCCGAGCGCAGAATTAGATTTTAACCCGAAACGTAATAACGTCTAATAATATTCCTTCCGGTTGGTTCCCCAATTGTCGGAACTTTTAATTTTCATTTAAATATGCACAAACTGCATTCGAAAGTTAATAGAGGAGAATATTAATTAAAAATCCTATTCCAGCATCGGAAATAAACAGAAAAAAAACTGCACGTTATTCCCCACCTGTACCTGTAAATATCAGGACTTAATCGCGTGCTTTAAAAAAATCCTACAAAATAATTCAGGACTACACGCCGATCGTATCCGCGTCTAGCCAATATACGGCGCCGGTCGCCTGAAACCCGTAAATTCGAAAGGTACGACAATAAAAATCGTCGAAGGTCCGTAGTATAGATAACCAACCGATGAACCCATCGATCGATACTTCCGTCAGGGTTCGACAGCAATTACCTCCAATGACGTGAACGAATTCGAAGTCGGGAATTTTTAGTACACACGTGTGTATTTTATCTTTAAAATATTACGGCTGAAGTTAAATTCCGGTGCGAATGTACATTTTTCATTTCGTAACTATATTAAAATAAAAATTATGAACGACGTGTATCAAAAGGAGCTTTGCGTGCTCTAATCAAAACCGAGAACTTTATAATGAGTTATTTCAACGATTGGACCAAATAGTAATAAACAATTAAACGTGAGGCATGCCAAAAGGCCATTAATCCATTAGAAAGGGTGAAAACAAATATGAAAGGCATTTCCTGGAATTTATAAATATAGTTTGATGAGTTCTAAAGCTGACTATTGAGCGAAATTTACAATACGAATTTAATATTTACTCCACCAAACTCAATAGATATTTTCCACCACAACTATTTCCTATATTCCGAACGTACCTGAATAAAATTCCTACTTTATTGGTACAAGGATTACTAACGTTCCGTATGAAACAGAAAAATCCCAATAGGTACACATTTCTCAGGCCGAATTAATAATAACCCGAAGAGAAACTAATATCATAGGGGAAGTAAGTTGCACAACTCCAGCAGTAATAATAGTTATAATAACGCTGATATTTATTACACTTGGCGAGTTTTAGTGATTGTTTTAGAACAGAGGTAGACTTTGCGGCCACCGCACGATTTTCCAATAAAACGTAAGCACTTCGTCAGACTTACCCTACACGGAAATCATTTTTGAAACACGTTAGTGTTTTATGAGCAATATAGACGAATGTCGTCCAGGAAATTCTACTCATAAAGGAGATGATGAGCACGGTTTTATTGACCCAAAACGTAAATTATTGAAACCTAAAAATAGAGTGTACGATAATCAAAATTTGGTGATTTTTCATTAAAAATGTCGTGAAGAGGATGGCACCTCCGCCATTATTTTAATTTCAGCAACTTTTAGTTGAAATATTGGTGATATTTAGTTGAAAATAAAATTTCAATCTTAAAATTACCTCAGTTCCTTTTGGATTTAGTTATTTTTATCCTGTTTATTTTATCTTGTTTGTTAATTTTATTAACGTTCGTACTAATTAAGTTGATTTATTTCGAGCTTCGATTAAAAGCTCATCGGGATGAATTCTATTTTTATGCAAAAAACGAAGCGAAAAGCGCCCGCCGCCGGCTTGATACATCTTCGAAGGGCAAAGCGGGGCGGATATCGGGGTCAGAAGGTCGTGCAACCGCGGCCGCGCCGCAACGACTGTTACTTTCTTTCGGTTAAAATGAAAAATATGCGCGAATAAATTGGTCTTTCTGTTCTGGACAATGGCGTATATTGTGATGTGGATACGGGAAGGGCTCGACGGGACGGCGGAATACAAGAAAAGGTTTTCCGCTAGGTGGCTCGCTCGTTTGTTCCGAGATTTTGATAAACTGGATCGCTTTTGAATGAAAAAAAGGCCTTGAATAAAAGACGAATTTAAAAATATATATTTGGGGCTTTTCTCCTTTCTTCTTTTCAGACTTCGGTAATAAAAATTTCACACTGTATCTAGACGTGACGTATAGGTAGCAAATTTATTTCCACAACTCTGAAAGTGGAAAATAATCCTTCTAACGTGTTGCATGATTACAATAACTATTATTAGAAATACTAGAGACTCTACGAATAAACCAATAGCGACATAAAAACCATTGAACCCGCGTGACTGGTAAGCCGAAACAAATTAGTAATATAATAACTGCGCTTACACACAAGTTCCCGGAGTTTCGGCATAAACTTACCCCAATATTGTTGCAAGTTTCGCAACAACCGCGGGAGCAGATCGAGTTACATTTCCAGCCACTGTTCTCTAACTCCGTGTAGCAGCTGTCCAAAACTATGTGTTACTTCAGGTGAACTTGACAATTAATAAGTGGCCTCGCACGTCCCCTTCGATACGTGCTCAATCAAATTTACGAGTGGTAGTGTTACACTTCCTCGATTACAATCGAGCGGATAGTCAATTGATTATTATATACAAGAATTTTATCACTATATGCTAGTTATTATATCGCTAATGGATTAATTAAGGAACTGTCGTTCACAGATTCGTATATTAGAATTAAGTTCGATATAAAATAGGCAATAAAATAGTAGTGTTAAGAAAGGATATATAGAGTGTAGACGTAAAACTGGAACGAACAGAAGCGAAGCACTTAAACAGTCCATATTTCCGTTATCTTTCCTGTAATTTGACAACAAGAGCGGGCGTAAGAAACACGGCTATGCGACGTCAGCCGAGCCAGAGCTGGCCCATAAAATAAATCCTGAAGTGCGGTATTACTTTAATGTCTTACGAGTTCATTACGGAGGACCTAAATTTCCCGACTGGAACAAATATTGCTTCGGTTCGAGAAAGCGGGCTTAGTTTTTACGATAGCTACAAAAAATCAGTTAATGCGGGGCTAGCAATCAAATTGTTTTTAACAAATAAAATATTAGAATTCTTAATTCCGAAACCTCAAGCGAACGAGGTTAATCGTAATTAAATTTTGTTAAAAATTCCAAATTTTTGCCATTCGAACTCTCCACCTCTGCAATGAGAGGAAAAAAATCAGTTCATTAAGATCTTTTTTCCGAAAGAACGTCGAGCCATAATTGAGAACACAAAACCCGCCGGTGTCGCTCGTTTTTCCCGTTCGCGTCTTCAGTTGCAGATGGATGTAACTTTTTGTTGGCACTTCTGAAAGTGGTATTTTTCAACAATCATCGCTGAAATATTACGTCTCTTAGCGGCAATGTGCTATTCCTCTGGATTTCCTTAATCAGAGCGCCTCGTGTAATGGCATCTTAAAAAACTTCATAGACGAAAAATAAAAGATGCTGATGCTGTTTACAGGAAAAAAGAAATAATTGGAAAAGTTGATTATGTATTTACTACAGAGAACTCTTCCTATTTTACGATAGGACATAAAAAATAGAGAATAGAGATATATTTTTTTCTGCAACAATACATCGTACAATCGCTGCATAAATATTCCAAACAAAAATTGATATATGAATTGAAAGCAGCTCTAAAAATTACACCGTCAAAATATCCCCGGCGTTAAAACTGCCGTCGGAAAATGCAATTTCGGAAAGTTATGAAAGAAAATTGACATTGAATGGCAGCTCTATTCACACCACAATCGAGTTACCTTTTGAAAAATGTCTGAGAACATTTATCCGCATTATGATTTTCATTTTGAAACGAAACCCGTAAAAATCGGCGGCTTTCTTATACATGGCCTCGGCGCTGATGTCAATTTCTGTCTGGCTACAGCGGTTTATGAATGTCTATAAACTGTTAAAACATCTACATTATTGAAATGTTCACTCTGGTACACGCTCTTTGTTGCTTTCGAGGATTAATTACTTAGTCACTCTTTATTAATCAGGCAACTTAAAACTATAAAATATAAAAAAAAAACTATTAAAGAAAGAATCTCTTGGACTACTTAGATTATTTGATTACTTAATCGTTGTTTCATTTTCTAAAATTTATTGCCATGTTCAGCTTAATTAACAATATTTCCCCCTTGTACTTCTGCTTCCGGTATTTAAACTAAAATCATATAAAATCATTGGATCGTGCACTCGTTAAAAATATTAGTTCTTTTATTAGTTTTTTCTCCATTTTTATAAAAGTTTTTTTACGACTTTCATCAGCTTCCGTATCTGCGGTTTTTATATAGGTAGTATATACAATATCCTGTTAGGTGTCGAGTTACGTTATTAACACTAACGCAGTGTTCCTAAACATATTCATTTTTAAAAGGTCGTATCCGGTTAATAGGGATT